ACTGAAAGTGTTATGAGTTTAATAAACCGTCCTGTCTTTTAACCTAAGTTGAGTTACATCTTAAGTTTTAAGTATCTAAAACTAAAAATCCTACTACTAGAACAATTATACAAATTATATATATCTAAGGTAATCATCTCCTTACACTTATAGATGTACAAAATGTATCTTAAAGGATCTACTATACTTACTAACTCAATACCACACTTATTAACTCAATAATAATATGTAAATGATATTTGTTCTCTATTAATACCACCAAAAGCTAAGAGGTTTCTCAGTCCCTGGATTTTTGAATCCTCTCAATTGAGATTGTTTTTACATGTATTTAAAAATTTTAGCATTAATTTGGTGTTTTCTAAGATTACAAGAAAAAAATATTTGCAACATTTTTATTAACCATTATCTATAACACAACTGAATAACTTAAAACATAGAAATGCATTAAGCTGCTATTTTCAAAGTCTAAAAAATTACACACTCGTTGCTTGTATCTTTTACATGAAAAGTTAATTATTAAAGGAAAAAGACAAAAAGAAAAAAGAAAAAAGAAAAAAGAAAAGAAAAATCTCAACCATCCATATCAATCAAAATTTACCCTCAAACTTATCCTCTCAACTTCGTGGCCGGATAATATACCCCAAAGCGATTGTGATTTTTATTTCTTCATTTCTTTTCTTCAAGCAATGAACCAGAGCTTTCACTATAGTGTAAACCACTCACACAATTTCTGAAACATATTGCATAAACTCATCATCGTTTTCAAGACCAGTCATTGTGTCAGGTGACAAAACAACCTCAAGATCAACGCTCCCATTTCCATCTCTCCCAGGAAAAGCTGATATCTTCCCATCAAATTTATTGGCCCTACCACTCCTCACTGCCAAAGGTCGGCCCCACCCAAAATCGTTATCATACATTGGAAATCTTGGAGAACTCCCCATCGTGATTGATGCTCCATCAAAATTCCCCAACGGAAATAACCGCGGCTCCTTTTCCCAGTCTGATATACCCTTCCGCACCGTACCATCATCATGTGCGACGACGTTTCTGTGCAGCAATTCAGCTCCGAAGCTCAGGTCCTTTGATAAAAGCTCTCCAGCCGAAGCAGTCGTTGGGATGCTTTGAATCGCGTTGCCAAAGTAATACGGCTCCAGCTGTGGCTCCAGCCGGTGCCTGCAATTCACTGCCATACGAAACGTCGTCATGTTAGACGGCATTAGTTTCCTCGCACGTGTCACTGATCTCCATAGCTGCGCGCAAAGGGACTGAAACGAGGAAATCTCCGCAGTTTTGTCCTTCACTAAGAAAAGGGTAGCTACTTTCCCGTTACTTTCTCCGTTAGCGGCTTTCCAACTGTCGTTTCTTTGCTTTCCGAAAATCTCCGCCGAATTGCAAATTAAATCACTGTTATTAGCTCTGAATTTGAGCTTGAGAATTGCTTCTCTTCTAAAATGAAAAACTCTCTCACGCAATGGCTCATCACCAGAAAATGTCACTTTCGGCCCACCGGCAGGGAATTTAAGCACCGCAGGTGAGTTAAACAAGGTGTTGCGGGAAAAGTCTGGTGAATTAGAAATTTTTTTAGATCCCTTGCATATTTCAGCGAAGGTATTGAAAAAGTGCCAGAATGAAGTGCCATCAGTAACAGCATGGTTTACCGAGCAGCCAATGAATATGCCGTCTTGCAGTTCAGTGACCTGAACTGCCATTAATGGTTTTGAATGACCCGAATAACTGAGGGTCTTGTCGAATGCGAAGAATCCTTTGAAGCATTCAGGGACGTCGGTTGGAGAAAGAATGGTGTGGATAGAGAGGTGTCTTGCTTTGGCTTGGATGAAATCAACGCCTGCATCGTTGCATACAATATGGACATGGCCACTAGGGTCAGTTTGGAGGCGGCCAGCAAGAGCAGGGAAGTGAGAAAGAGCGACGGAGAGGGAGTGTTTGAGGAATGTGATGAGGTCATCAATGGAGTATGGTGGATAAGGGAGGAGGACACCCTTCTGGATGTATTGGCAAGAGAGCATGGGGAGGTCAGAGACTGAGAGCTGTAGGGTTTCGATGGTGGTGGATTTTTGGTCAGGGTAGATTGTGCATCTTGAGACGATGGTGGTATTGGAAGAAGGCATTTTTTTTTTCGCCTTTTTATTGTTAATGGCGATCAAGTATGGGCAGGAAGGAGGATGGTGTGTGTGAATGTAGCTGAAAGTGGTAGGGTTTATATAGAGGAGGGAGGATTCATGAACTTGGAGGGTAGTTTCGTGGTGATGTTAATACCTGCTCTTGTTTCATTGTCTATGCCTTTGTTTATGGCCTTTTTATCAACAGAAGATGTATTCGACAGGAAGAGTCGTCATGGTGGGGTATTCTGTGTTGGACCAAGTATAGAAAGACATGCTATAAATATTTTGGATGAAATTATTCAAAATTCTATGTATATATAAAAAGACAATGTTTTGATTAGTGATGCAATGCCATTTCTCATTAAGATTATTAAAATCTCAAGGATAAAATAATGACAGAGATTTTTTATATCCAAATTCAATGGTGAATTGGATGATTATATATATGTGTGTGTGTGTGACTTGGATGATTATTCATATATATAAATTCAATGGTGACTTGGATGATTATTCATATATATAATTCTTGTGGTGACTTGGATGATTATTCATATATATCATTCTTGGTATGAATAAACATTGACTGCAGCTCAGAAATCAGAACGAGATTGATTAATTATCGAGGGCCAAGGAATCAATTCATAGAGCCGATTTTTTTAATAGAATCATTTTCGGTTGCTAAATTTTCATTTAAAAATGTATTTAAATAATATATTTTTTAAATTAACATTAAAATATAAAAAAATTAATTTTAAATAAAAAAATCTTTGGCCAGAAGTACAAGCAAATATTCATGTCGAAGTCGAGAACTGCATGTCAAAGAGCTCCATGGGTCGATGATCAGGAAGTAAAAGATGGCACCATGCACAGGATCGTGGACCAAAACTAAGTACTGTTTCTTTCTTGGAATCTCAAGTTCATTGCCGAAATCTGCAACATCTCTTGGGGTCTCTACAACCAGCTGATTCAATCTCTGTGATTATCTCTGGTATTGGGTTTTAAGCTCTAATTTTATTTAATCCAGACTGCTTTAGGTTGACATATTCCTTAAAGAGAAAATCACAAGAATCATGCAGAACGTGGGACTCATTTCCAGCATGTGTGTAAGTAGATCAGCTGAAGTTTTGCCTGGAAAACATGCTCGAAGTCTCATCAACACCTCATTGCATTGCTTTGCTCGCACAAACACTTGAATATTAGTGAGGAGGCACCAAACATCCCCCATTGAAATTAAATAGGAGCATGTGCTCTACTTCACTCCTGCTCGTTCCAGGAAATTAAAGCACATTAATTTCCATCTTCAAAATGTCCAATTGATTGACGTTCAAACCTTTGAATCAACCTTGTTAATTGATATGAAATGACTAATAAGGCAATTACTTTTCTTTCTTTTTTATTTTATTTCTTCCAACCAATGAAATCAGCTGAAACCTTAGATTGCAATTACGTACAAAGCAACAATGGCACAGCAAGATTCTCTTGGCTGCGTTCACGTCTTTTAAAATCTCAACTTACTCTGATTAATTAATTTCATGTTATTCTATTCTTCTCTAATCATTCTATCGGTTAGGGCTCCAACTGTAAGAGCTTTGTCATGAGGTAGGCATCTTATTACTAAAATGAATTATTATCATATACCCAAATATTAATTAGCAGTAGCCACCTTTCCAATTTATATTATATATATAGCTAGCCACCTTCCTTGCTCACCAAAACCCGTCTAGAGTGTTTCAAAAAAAAAAAAAAAACTTGATTAAGCATGCATGACGTATGACACAAATCCTATAAGAAAATAAAAATAATGGTTCTCCAAAATGGGAAGGAGAATTAAGGGAAAAATAAAATAAAATAAATAAATGAGAGGGTTTTTTAATGTACTGATATAATATAATACTATTCATTAAAATAATATTTTTTAAAACTATACCCTTTTTTTATCAATTTCAATTTTACCCTTTAACATTATATTTATTAGGGTTTGAACTTCATAATTTTTTTAATTAATTTTTTATAAGTTCATCTTAAACTCATGATTTAGACAATGGATTTAATAGGTTAACTTGATTGACTCAAGTTTTTATATTTTTATTCTCAATTAATTTTACTCAATTTCATCCTTCAACATTAAGTTGATTAAGAATCAGGCTTCATCATTTATTTTGATTTTATTTTTTTATAAAATTATCCCCATCTCATAACTCGAGTTATGGGTTTAGTAGGTTAATCTTGATTGACACAAGTTATTTTTCATATTTTTTTTAATCATTTTTATTTTATCTTTTAACATTGAGTTAATTGAGAATTGAGTTTCATAATTTATTTTAATTTTCTTTCCATTGGGTTATCTTGATCTCATGACCCAAGTCGTAATTTGACAAGTTAGCTCGAGTTAATTTGAGTTAATTTCTTGGGTTTTTTTTTTATTTTTTTAGTTTCATTCTTCAATACTGGATTTATTGAAAATTGAGTTTCATAATTTGTTTTAATTTACTTTCTGTTGGAGTTATCATGATCTCATATCTTGATATGCAATTAATACACGACTAGCAAATCAATAAATACAAACAAAAATACCAAGGAAATATTTTTATTAAATTTCTAACAAATTTTATAGATGAACATACATCCTCGGTGTATAGCGAGGGAATTACAGTGGAAAAAAAATTTAAACAAAGCAAAAAAATAATAACATGTCATTTTTTACCAATAGAATTATGATGGAATAAATTATGTCGGTAAAATCCGTTGGTAATTCCATTAGAGCTCTAAACTTGTTCACTCTCCAATTGCACTGTTAATTATTGTTTTTTAAAGACAAAAGCATCGACAAATTAAAAGTCATTGGTATTATTTGGCGGGTTTTATAAAAATTTTTGATTAAATTAAAAATTTAAATTAAATATTATAGACAGAATCACATAATAATTAAAAAGCTGTCGGTGATATTTAACAATTTTTGAAATTTTTTTATTAAATTTTAAATTTAAATGAAATATTACCAACAGAGTTACTGATGAAATATTTAAAAATATTAATATTTAATTATTCATCAATAAAACCATCGATAAAACACCTAATAAAAGGTCTGAAATCTCCAATTTCACAACAAACAAGTCTCATTTCTTCTTCTTCATCATCGTCTTCAATATCCATTTCTTTCTCTTCTCTTCTCTTTTTTCCTTGACTTTTTCTTTTCTCCTCCATGCTCAAGTATGTATTTTTTCCCTTCTTTTTTCTTCTTAGTTTTTATAATTAATATACTTTATGATTTTTTTTCTCTTCTTAACATTACTTGCAACTACATTAAGGTAAGATTTTTTCGTTTTTTATTCTAGTTTTTGTTTCCACTATATTTTTTTATTTGTTTTAATTTTTTTTGTTCTTAATAATTGTATAAATGTTGTTGTAGGATTATTTTTTTGTCCATATGAGATCAATTTTTAGTTGATTTATTTATAGGATTTTAAAATTTTTAGTAATTGCTACTTTATTTTTTTCATATGAATTTTTTTAGTTGAATTTATTTTTTCTTGTTATTTATTTGTTGCAAATTTGTTTGAGTTGATTTTTTTTTTCAAGTGACTTGAGTATTATAGGGTGTTGATTTATATTAATTTATTTATTTTATAGTTTTCTAAAATATATTTTTTAAATATATACTAACACAATTAGATACAAACTTACCAATAGAAATACCGAAGGAATGAAGCGGATAATTTTTTTTGCATGCCTTTTTCATCAGTAAATTTATCAGTAAAATATTTTTTTATTACCAACAAAAAAAATTATTGACGAAGAATTTATTGACGGAGCATTTTCGTCGGTAATTTTGTTGGTAAATAAATTACTAGTGGAATGATAGAGTAAATACCGACAAAAAATTCCGTCAGTAAATATAAAGATTGTGATAATGATAGGTTAACCCGAATTGATTTAAATCAATCCAAGATATTGTCGCCTCAAAGTTTATTAAAAAAATATCATTTTAAATATTTATTTTGATTTAAACTATATTTTTATTAGTCATCCAATTTATATTTCAACCTATCAAAGTGACCAAGTTATATCAAATCAATTTGTACAAGGTTTAATGTTTTTCTACTAAAAAACCATTTACAATGTCTAAATATTTTTTTTATATTACAAAATAAAATCAATTCGCTAGATATTCATGTGCAGTTCTCTTACCTGCATATATCTAGCTAGTCGGGACTCTTTCCATCATTAATAGCTACGCGATTGAAAAGTAATTTTTAGATAAGATTGAAGTTCATAGATAATTATGCAGATGCTTAGGGTCACATTTCCTTAATTTGGTTAATTATGGTGCTTTTATTCTTCATTTTCTTTTTCGACGGGTTTATATATTTGATAAGAAGCAAGATCTGGAGGTATCTTGCGTGATTTTTCTTCAATATACTATATCGTTATAGTAAGATGAACAGGGACACGTTGCGAACTTGTAATTTTCACCATTGAATGCATATACGTATGAGGTCATAGGTAGCCAACAAGAAGCAAACCTCAGCTAATTAAGCAAGTTTGAATGACTTATTCAAGAATTAAATTTAAGTTCGCTTGTGTCTTCGAACATGATTTTTATGCCCAAGACACAAGTCACTACATGCATGCATCTGAGGAAAAATTGAAGTTGACTATGTTTTTAAAACATGAGTCATCAACATTTTGGTCTGCCGACTACCAATGGAGTCATTAATTCCGTAAATTATTTTCGAAGCATGCACTTAGCTTCAGTCAGTGTCAAGGCATTTGTCGTTCTCCGAGCCTGTACTGTTAAGCGTAACAGCGAGAGCCAAATGCGTGTTTCTGGGTGGCCCTTTTGTCCATTTGGCCGAACGGCGTCTGCCCCCAGAACCGCAAGATGTTTTCGATTTCTGGAACCTGGACAAAATATTTATAAGAACGTAACGCATGGATTTTTCACCATTGACCATTCATGCACCCACACCCAACCACCACCACCACACAACCCGCCCCCCTACGATTACGAACTGTTCTTTCAATTTGACAGGGATTGCACGTGGAATTTTTTTTTTTCTAATTTTCACATTTGATTTTAAAAGTAAAATGACTTTTTTAAAAAAAAAAAAAAACAAAAGAGAAAAGCAAGAGGGAGGGACCAATGAAAT